GGGATCGAGCCCCGCATCGGGCTCTCTGCTCAGTGGGGAGCCTGCTTCCCCCTCTCTCTCTGTCTGCCTCTCTGCCTACTTGTGATCTCTGTCAAATAAATAAATTAAAAAAAAAAAAAAAAAGGAATGTTTGATCCCAAGTTTTGTTTTGTTTTGTTTTACTTTACTTTTGCTCTTAGTCAAGGTGTGATTTATATGGTGCTAAAAGCCATGTGGTTAATGAGATTGTGTTCTAAGTATTGTTATTTGTGAGGGGGCATATATGGTCAAGGTGCATCTTACTGTATGTACAATTTAATTGTGAAGACTGACCTTTGGAGCCAGTCTCTGCCACCTGCTGGCTTTGGAACTTTGGCCAGGTTATGTAGTCCCAGTTTCCTTGTCTGTAAGCTGGGATTGAGAGGGTCAGATGGTACGGTTCCTGCAAACGTCTGGCTCAATTCTGGCACACGGTAATCACTCAGATGATCTTATAGCTGTTATGGTAAATGATGACTGATAGAATTTACTCCTGAAGGAAGACTTCTCCCCAATCTTTTTTCATAGCTAGTATTTAGGAGAGGTAGTATTTATTTACTTACTGTTTTATTTTTAAAGATCTTACTTGAGAGAGAGAGAGAGTATGTGCACGCGTGTGCACGAGGGGGTGGAGGGGCCGAGAGAGAGGCAGGCTCCCCGTTGAGCAGGGAGCTGGACTTTCCTGGACTCAGGGCTTGAGACCAGGACCTGAGCCAAAGGCGGACCCTTTATCGACCAAGCCACCCAGGCGCCCCAGGAGAGGCAGTATTTAACATAATGGGGTTTTTGGTTTAACACATCAGTAATACTCTGAACATTGAATAAGTCAAAATCGATGTTCTGCTTCCCCTTTTATCCCTCTGAGGATGGACATGTTCCACACTTTTCTCCAAGCCTTATGTAAGCATTAACACATACACAATGACTAGCTTTGCTTTGCTTTTGCTTGTGTATTACCCAACAACTTTTGCAACGAACCAGTAGGTATAGAATTTTTAATGGGTGTTACTCTCAGTTCATGGATTCGGATTTAACTGATTTTTTTTAAGATTTTTTAAATTAACTGATTTTTAATAACTGCTTAACAATACCCAAATAATGTGGCTATGCCAGGGTTAATTTGGTAACTATTTTAGATATTCAAGGTGTTTTTAGTCCCCCGCCTTCCATTACAGACACTGTTTACTGCACCATCCTTATACATAATCCTTAAAACTCATCGCTTTCACTTCTCCAAAGTGACACTGCTGAGTTAGAGTACGCGTTAATTATAGTGCAGGGGGATTTGGGGTCCTAAAGGCTGTAGAAAGCGTTGTTGGTTCCTGGCCTTGCACAGTGTAGTTGAAGAATGGATATGTATTTCTTTTCCCAGGGACGTTTTTGCTTAGGTACAACGATTTCAGTAGACAGGGTTTATTTCCAGGGAGGTTGGAAATCCTTAACATTCTGAAACATAGACGTAAGTCAGGAGAGCAAAGGGAGCCTCTGGAAGTCGGTTTACTATGTGTAGTGTTTGCTCTCTTTGTCAGATATGCATTTGTTAGAAATCGTACATGTTTAAGTTTCTCCGTTTTTAAGAGCTAAGAGTCCACCTTGAGAACCGAAGCACTTGACCTTTGCCCTCCTGCTTCTTCCTGTTCCCACACCCTGCAGGGCTGCAGGCATCCCCCGCCCAGGGGGAGAGCCGTCCCGCAGGTAGCATCTTGTCTCTAGAGGCGCCCGCTTGCTCAACGCGGACGCAGACGGCTGAGCACTTGCCGCTGTGAGGTCATCAGCAGTAACAGGAATGTTAGGCTGCTAACAAATTGTTTCTACCACCACCCAGTCGCTGTGCTGGAAGCAGGTGCCTCTTCTTTGTCGTGCCCCTGAGAGCTGCTTCGTATGCCATACGTTTTTCCAGGTACCCACTTAGGTGGTGTGTGTGTGTGTGTGTCTCGTAGGCAGGGGACAGAGAGAAGAAAGGACGATCGCGATGGTCTTCCCGTGTGTGTGTGTGCAGGTGCGCGGGTGGTCTACCTAGCCTGTCCATGCCAACCTGTAGCCTGACCGCCTGGGTTCAGAAGCTTTGTTTTCTCCCATTAGTAATGAGCATTTGGTTACATCAGTTGGAATTATGCAACTCTGTACCAGCTGACACCAGTTCCTACCTGTTTCCATTCTTCCTCCGCTCTGATTCAACGTCTTGGCACTGGAGAAGTGATCACATTGTAACACTCTGGGCCCCGCTGGCCTCTATTCCTGACTCACTGCAGTGGTCACTGGTGTCCGAAGTCCACCGAGCATCCTGTTACGGTTCCCAGTCACGGTTCCCGGTCCGTGAGACCTGTAGTTGCTTGTTTTGCATTCCTGTTTTGTCTCCTTGCGAGAACTCGCCTTATCTTTAAAAATTCGACAGCCATGGGCTTGTTGGAGGGTAGTTCTTATTCTTGTGACACTTGGCGGTCTGGGTTTCCCTGGGCTTCCTGCAGTATTTGGTGACAGGAACAGCAAGGACAGTGACTGCGGACAGAGGAGTAGAGCTCACCGTGTGCCCGGCACTGTGCCTGCACTTGATCTATTACTAACGGTACTGACCCAGCAGCTCGGCGCGGGGGGGCATCGTGACCCCCCGGGGTACGAATGCAGAGACTGAGGCTGCCGTGGAGCTGTGGTTCTGCAGCCTGTAAATGCCTCATGCAGGGAAGTCACCCCGCCACCTCTGGGTGGGGTTCACTGGGGGAGCTAGAGAAGCCAGGCGACGTGGCGGTGATCCCAGGGAAGCTGGGCGCTGCATGCACTTGGAGAGAGAGTTGGCAGAGAGGTGTGGCTGCCGCTTCTGTTTGCATAGGAAGTGACACGGGGAGTCCTCCCATCCGAAAGCCCTGGACATGTGAGGGAAGTTGAGGGAGCTCAGGCATGGGCAGGAAGGAAATGGGAGAGGGAGGTGTGGAAAACTTTGCTAACGAGGGAGGTCCCTGGTGACAGCCTCTCACGAAGAGCCCCTCTCTTGATCAGCTTTGTCCCTCCAGGGTGCACATCCTGGAGGAGGGTGAAGCGAGTTGGAGGTATGTTTACCTTCAGCGAGTTTCTTTTGTTTTGATGAGTGAGTCATGTGAACGGTCTGGGAAGCCTCTTCGGTTGCTCTTGTGATTGAGTTTTTCAAATTGGTTTTGGAAGAGGTTGTGTGTGACGGGCCGGGATCACCCCTCTCTGCGGCACCGACTGGAACCGTAGAAGGAAGGCTGTCTAGGTAAGAGGCACTGGGTTGGGGGGCGGAGGTATGGGAGGCTGTGACAGGGCGGGACCCCGATTTCTGCTGCCATGCCCTCTGCATAGAACATCCTGGGGCTCAGGTTGCATTTCTGCCATATCTGAATGAAGTCTCCTCTGGGTGAGCAGAGATAGGACCGCAGACGGGATGGCGAAGCCCTCTTTACAGAATGTGGTTGTTGGCTGTTGTCATTGTTGCTTTTATATCGCCAGGTCGTTTTCTACCCCCTTTCTGGGTATTTTTAGCATGGTTTTGGGGCTGAGTTAGAGCACAGGGTCAAGATAGTGTCATAAGTAACTGTGTGATTTTGGGCACAGTCTTAACCTTTCCTGCCTTGGTGCCCTAGTCTTAAAATGGGGGTGCTAGGAATAGCCATTTCCTAGGGCCATTGGAGATAATGCTTAGCAGAATGCTTCTGTCATTGTATCTGCTCAAAAAATGGAGGTGCTCGGGTACCTGGGTGGCTCAGTTGGTTGGGTGACTGCCTTCGGGTTAGATCATGATCCCGGAGTCCCAGGATCGAGTCCCACAATGGGTTCCCAGCTCCATGGGGAGTCTGCTTCTCGCTCTGACTTTCTCCCCTCTCGTGCTCTCTCTCTCTCTCTCAAATAAAATCTTCAAAAGAAAAAAAAGTAAAAATGGAGGTGGTCATTACTGCCTTCTTAGTGTTCCGACCCTCTCAGAACTCCCCCGTTCTGCTTCCTATCTGTGATGAGCTGTGACATTCCCGGGTGCACATCACCGCGGGTACAGACACTGATGGCGAAGTAAACTGGATTTGGAGAGTTGCAGATCCTTCGGGCTCTTAAAGAAGGGTGGAGTCTCTTAGGACAAAGCATTCCTGGCATGAATAGACAGAGAAAGCTCATCAGACAAGCAAGCCGAAGTCAGGTGTTCCCAGAAGTAAGCAAGTTGCACAGAAAGAATCCCTTCTCCTTTGCCTGGTTGTTCTTTGCGTTTTATCCAACTTGTCAGGTTTCCCTATAGAAAGAATTTTTCTCGCCATCTTTTAAAAATGGAATGCAGAACGATTACTGTCAATTTGATGTAGTTGCATGCAAGCTTTTTTGGAAGGGCCAGAGGGGTTTGCGTGGAGGGAGAATTCTGATCCCTTTTTTCTGTAACACCCCCACAGGGTGGGCGCGGTTTTCTGTTTTACCAAATTGCTTTATTAAGTACCGTTTAAGAAATACTTCATTAAAATAAAAAAAAAACAACTTTTTTTTTTTTAAAGATTTGATTTATTTGTCAGAGAGAGAGAGAGAGAAAGAGAGTTAGTATGAGCACAAGCAGAGAGAGCAGCAGGCAGAGGGAGAAGCAGGCTCCCCTCTAAGCAGAGAGCCCGATGCGGGGCTCGATCCCAGGACCCAGGGATCATGGCCTGAGCCTAAGCAGATGCTTAACCAACTGGACCACCCAGGTGTCCCAAAACTTAACTTTTTAATATGGCATATTTCAAGCACGTGCAAAACTGTAGGGAATATTATGAGCCCTGACCTCCTTGTCTACTACCCACAACACCTGCCAACTCTCATGGCCGAAACCGCTTTATTTGTCCCCCGCCACAATCCCCACCCCTGTTTGTTTGTTTGTTTGTTTTGAGAGAGGAGGAGACCATGGGCACAGGAGCAGGGGGCAGGGTGGGGTGGGCAGCGGCGGAGGAGCAGAGAATAAGCAGACGGCACCACGTTCAGCACAGAGCCTGACACGGGGCTCATCTCACCGCCCTGAGATTGTGACCTGAGCCAAAACCAAGAGGCAGATGCTTATAGACTGAGCCACCCAGATGCCCCCTGACCCCGTGCCCTGTTATTTTTAAGTCAATTCCAGACAACATATTATTTTCTCTTCTGAATATTCAAGATATGCTTTGAATGCCTTAAAAGTTTCAGTAAAGTCAAAAATGAAAACTTTTATGTTTTGAGATCCTTCCTGTGGGAAGCTCCTGTCTCTCTAGAGACTTAAGAGCAGTGATCCTCAAAGCAGGGAATGGGGAGATGATTTTTTTTTTTCAATGATGACTTGGGGGCTTTTTCAAACTCCTCGTCTCCCCAGTCTTTGCTCCCTCCCCACCCCCTTCCACATACAGTTGAAAATAGAACTGGTTTGCTTCGTGTGTTAGAGCAGGAATAATCAATAGAGAACCACTGCTTAGGGGGGAAAATGATTCCAGAAGCTTTACCACTCAAGAACCACATTTTTTGTTGTTGTTATTTTTAACCCCCCCTACTTGGGGGTTTACAGGTATGTTTGCTTACTGCCTTCTTAACCAAAGTATGCTGGATGTTAGTTGTGCCTGTTTACCACAGAGTGCATTCAGCACGGTCTCCCATGCTGTGGAATGCTTATTTTTATAGTTTACCTCTCTCATTGCCATTTTGTTCCCTGCCAACATACTTTATCTCTCTCAAATCTGCTAAGGGCTAAGAAGCAAGGTATGTCAGGGTATCTAAAGTTAGAGTAAATGAACTATGAGGGCGGGTTTGTTGGTTTGTTTGTTTCTTGTGCAAAGTATCTGTTGTTGGAATGAAGGACTCTTGTGATGTGTGATGGCTTCGAGGATGTTCTGGCTCCGTTTCCCGGAGCCACTACCAGGGGCCTGCCTACATGTAGTTGAGCCCCCTTTCGTGGAGGTCACGTACCACTGAATGTGGGCCCTAGAGCAGGAATCTTTGTTCTAACCTCAGATACAGCTCCAGATTTGGACAAATTTTTCTCCGCCCGCCCCTGGATGTCTGCCGGTGAGTTAGATGGAGGGGGAGGAAGGAATTTAAAAACGGGACCATTCTGCTTTTGTTGTTCTATTTCCAACTCATAGGGGCTTGTGCTTTAAACCTTGCACCACGGTAAGTAAAATGGCTTCAAAGAATTCGAAATATGGCTGTACTTTGGGTGTTCTATCGCACTAAAATTTATAGAAGAAACCGACTGTGATTTTTCACTGAACAGAGCTATGTTCCTCTCTGCCCTTCTTCAAGGGGGAATCAGAGAAGGCATCTCCCATAGTCCTTTTTTGCCCCGTGCACTCCTACCCTTTTTGAAAACTCTCCTTACAAAAATGACACAGTACTTTTCAAAACTGAGCCGTGCCTCATGCAGGTTTATACACAGGATGGACTCATTGCGTCATTTTTTCCCTTCTCACACCCAGACCAGGGTTACATAGTTCTGTGAGGTGTGCTTGGGAGTTGTAATAATGTGGAATGCTGGAAAAATTCCAGAGACTGTTAGTAAATACAGAATGCAGCTGAACAGCAGTTAGCTTCTGTTCGTGATTTCAGAACTCACCCCTAGGAAGAAAGCAAGGCAAGTATACATTATATAGGATGGGAAATAAAAGGGGACTGTGTTTAAGATTTGGATTTTAATTTTTGCCTTTCCCCTGAAGGTTGTGCCGGTAGTTCAGGAAAGGGCATTAAGCTGTATTTGGTTGATGTTCTAAAAGGTCTCTCCACTTCTTACCCATCATATCTAAAATTTGTTAGATCAGCCAACGGACTTCTTCCATATTATGAGAAAGCTGGCTTTACTTTGTGTTTTCAAGTTGGCAGGTATTTTGTTGATACGTTTAGGGTGAAAAAAGAAAGGAGGAGGTAAATCCAGAGCTGATAGTGAAAAGATGGAAACTTACATATTCGATCTTTTAGGAGGCTGATTGGTCAGGAATGGGTTTTGGAAGTGACTTTGAAGTTTTCGTGCATGTTTTCTCCTACTGTAGCCTATTCTATAGAAGGCCTTTAAAGTGGAATGTTTACCGAGCAAATATCCCTACAAATTGCTCTCGGCAGTCATGGACACATTGAATCCTCTGTCACATCAGTCATTCCATTGTAGTTTTTGCAAAGAACTTCCATGGGATGGGGCATCTCTCTGGTCTCTGAGACCACCCCCAACCTGAGACACATCAAGGGCTGGAAAAGGCAAACTTGGGTGGTGGGAATGTTCTTTTGGAAATCTGTGTTCAAATCTCTGCTCCCCCCCCCCCCACAAAGAACACCAGTGAGCTGAGTAGCTTCTCATCCCGCTTCTTCATGGTTTAGCCTCTCCTCAGGCCCCAAAAGTCAGACCTATCTCAGGCTCCAAATTCCTCAGGTGTCCCTTGAGTTCACCCAGAGGCCCCTGCCCTAGCTTGGGCTCAAAAACTCAACTCTTTCAGGATTCATTCTTTCTTTCATCCTCATGACAAATACTTATTTAGCTTTCTGCCATGTCCAAAGGAGACTACAAATCTGAGTCTGATGCAGATCCTTCCCTTCAGAATTCTCTTTGGGGAGCTAGGACCCATCCAGACACCTCTCTCTGGTAAGGGGCACTGTGATACGCCATCAGCCGTAGAGATGCGGCCATATGGATTGTAAGACTGACAGCAATTTGGAATCCATTTCCACCAGAAAAAAACAAAACCCCAAAACTGGATGGTTAGCTAAACACAGGGCACTAGACACATGTTCTTGATGAAGATAAGAAGAAGGCTGCAGCCTCCTTACCCACTTGGGATGGGCTCCTTACCGGAGCGTTTCGTCTACCGATGGGCGCCTTTCTGCTCCAGGTGTCTGCGTTCGGGGGGGTTGCAACACAGGGTTCAGGGTTTTCACTTGGTCAGTTTCCCTGTGGACTTGTCCTACCTTCGTGTTCAACTCCCTTGTTGTTTGCTTTGCCTTTTTTTTTTTTTCCCTTAACTTAATGTAGGTGGTAAGGTACTCGAGCCCTTCTTTTCGCAGCTGCTCTGCTAGCCTGTGAGCCAACCTGGCTCCCTGCACGAGGGGGGAACGGGAAGGGGATGCGTGTGCACCCACAGAAGCGTTTTCTCATTGACTTCTCACAAACCGGTGGGGGGTGGGGAGTGACTTCACAGATGAGTAAACTGAGGCTGGGAGAGGTGAAGTCACTTGGCATTTGCCCAGGCAGGTTCTTTCAGGAAGGTTTGCGCGTGTTCCGTTTGTTTCCTGAGCAAACTTTGGTCCTCGGAGAGGACCTCCCTGCTCCACTGTCCTTCTCGCCTTCTGTCACGTGGGTGTCTTTCCTCCAGGCAGCCTTCAGTGTGCACTTGCCAGCTGCTTCACGGACACAAAAACCCTGGGAGCCAGAGAGGTCAGACAGTTGGTGGCACTTTCCCTGTGATTTTTTGTTTTTTTCACATTTGCTTCTTCTTTTTTTTTTTTAATTTTTTAAGATTTTATTTATTATTTGACAGAGAGAGACATAGCGAGCGAGGGAACATAAAAAATGAAGGGTTCGAGTACCTTACCAACTACATTAAATGGAGAGGGAGAGGGAGAAACAGGCTTCCCACGGCGCTGGGAGCCCAGCATAGGACTCGATCCCAGGACCCTGTGATCATGACCTGAGCTGAAGGCAGCCACTTAGTGACTGAGCCGCTCAGGCGCCCCACATTTGCTTCTTAGTCCCAGCAACTCTGATTGAATTGGGCTAGGGTCTAACTCTTATCCAATGCTAAGGTACATCTTAGAAAAAGAGGACCAGCAGATGATGTTTTGAAGTTAGAATATGTTCCTATGGTCTTAGGGAAAAAAAAAAAAAAAATCACAAGTCAGCACTGTTAGTTTAACTATCTGTATTAACAACAGCAACAAAAAAAAGTCCCTTCCATTAAACTCCATGAATGGGTCTCAGCAACCTTTGCAACTTGGTATTATTTCCTGGGTATGTTCTTGAAGAGTAGGTAGAGAAAACTCTATCTTTCAAGTGACTTTATTTGTAAGGAAGCTTTCCATTAAAAAAAAAAAGAAGAAGAAGAAGAAACAAATCTTACAGTAAGTAGAATGATGACCCCCTAATTTGATCTCTTTTGAAAACCCAGTTCCGTCAGGAAAATCGAAAGCATCATAAACATGTGACCTTTTTAGGAGAATATGGCACTTAGTTCCAGGTTTTATAATGTTGTTTGCATGAGACAGTAAATATGAGGACATCCCAGAGAACCACATGGGCAAAGTCATTCGAGTGTCAAGAGTGAGACTGTTTAACCAGGAGGGCTTGCTTGTTAGAGATTTCACATCCCATCTACCGTCTGGTGGTGTATCATAATCCTTGCTCCCTCTGGCTCTCAAGGACAAAGCAGAGGAATTAGGCTTAAAATACAGAAGGCACTAGGTTACATGTGATGAAGAACTCTATGCCTGTATAAATGGTTACAAGATGGAGTCGTGATACGCATGCTGTGGATTCTTTGAGTGCTAAACATGGCGGATAATTCATAGACTATTAAGATGGTAAAATTGAAAGGGGCGAAGAGGTCATCTTCTTGAACCCTATCCTTACAGAGGAGGGTCCCATAGATTGTTTACTTGAAATCATTTGGGTGGAGCCCATCCTAGAGGTGAGGGGTGTCTTAGCTGAGCTCCTGGAAGCCCTTCCCAGGGTTACAGCTCTACGACTACACAAGTCCTGGGTGTAAATGCCACGCACTTTTTATTTAGGTGAAAGATGTGGGTGTGAAACGTGGAGAAAACATGTCTCTGGCTCTGGAGGAGTTTAGAGTCAAACGTGCTAACACTTTTTTTTTTTTTAATTTTTTTTATTTTTTTCGGTGATCCAAAATTCATTGTTATGCACCACACTGAGTGCTCCATGCAATACGTGCCCTTCTTAATGCCCACCACCAGGCTCACCCATCCCCCCCCCACTCCCCTCCCCTCCAAAACCCTCAGTTTGTTTCTCAGAGTCCACAGTCTCTCATGGTTTGTCTCCCCCTCTGATTTCCCCCAACTCACTTCTCCTCTCCATCTCCCCATGTCCTCCGTGTTGTTCCTTATGCTCCACAAGTAAGTGAAACCATATGATAATTGACTCTCTCTGCTTGACTTATTTCACTCAGCAAAATCTCTTCCAGCCCCATCCATGTTGATACAAAAGTTGGGTATTCATCCTTTCTGATGGAGGCATCGTACTCCATAGTATATATGGACCACATCTTCCTTATCCATTCGTCTGCTGAAGGGCATCTTGGTTCTTTCCACAGTTTGGCAACTGTGGCCATTGCTGAAATGAACATTGGGGTACAGATGGCCCTTCTTTTCTCTACATCTGTATCTTTGGGGTAAATACCCAGTAGTGCCACTGCAGGGTCATATGGTAGCTCTATTTTTAATTTCTTAGGGAATTTACACACTGTTAACACAGGTTTGATTGGTATGTTAAAATACGCAGAAATGATGTGGGAGTTCAGACAAAGAAAAAATACTTTGATGGGAGGGATCAGAGAAATCTATTGAAAGAGGCAGCTGCATTTCAATGGAGCAGTAAGGACTATGCAGTACTGGCATTGAGGGTTGCCTTTTTTTTTTTTTTTTTAAAATCTTTTGACTATAAACATTTTTAGGTATACAGAAAAGCCGAAAGAACAGTGCAGTGAATACCTACCTGTACACCCACCATCTCGATTCAACAACTCTTAATGTTTTGTCATATTTGTTCAACTCTGAATTTATATATATATATGTATTGGTTTTTTTTTTTTAAGCCATTGGTGAGTCAGTTGCAGATATTATGACATTTTTGCCCCAGATGTATCCATTGGCATCTCCTGAATCATTCTGTTAGGTGAGCACAATTTTGCTATCAAAAATGGAAGAAAATGATCAGTAATATATTAATGTCATCTAATTTCTATTCCCTATTTCAGATTTCCCTAATTGCCTCATGTCTTTTATAGCTATTTTTCTAAACCTGGATTTGATTAAAGTTCACACATCGCGTTTTGTTTTTAGAAGTCCTAAATCTCTTTTACCCAAGGGTCCCCCCTCTAACTCCATTCAGTATTTTTGTTTCACAATACTGACTTTTCAAACAAGTTTTCTTATAACTTTTTTCTTGATACCTTACCTGGCAAGTTTCTTACAAATTGAAGATTTAAATAGTTTTAAAAGTCTTTACAATAGGTACTTTCTAGGAGATATATTGCCTGATTGTCAGGTGTTGCTTCTGACCTACCATTTTTAGTAGCTAACATATTTAAAATATGCTGATCTTTATTTGCAACAATAATATAAGGCAATTGCAAAATGTTACAACTGTTTAGAAATGTATACAGTATAGAGGGTTCTGTTTAATATCACCTCTAATAGCTAGCCCTTGCTTATCCTTTTAGTGAACTTACATTCTTTCCCATTACTTTGCATGTTCTCGTTTATTACAAAAATTGGAATCATCTTTATTTTGTGTACGTTTACCTTTTATTTCACTAACTGTGCATTATGGATGGTGTCCTGTGGAATATACAGCACGGATTGTTTTTAATAGTGGCTGGGATCAACGTGTACCCAGCCAGCCACATTCTTTCACAGGTGTTTAAGGTGAGACATACCCAAATATAAAGTACCTGGCCCAGGACTAGAAATGTGGCCTGTGCCCACAGAGCAAATATTTTTCTTTGAGGCTCCCTGGTTAATATACGAGTTAAATCTCGGGGTCTTTGCTTCAATGAGTGAGGCAACGAATGTGTGAGTCGTCAACTCTCAAGGGCTCTGTGTTTGAATTCGGATTCTCTCTTTTTTTGCTTTTTTGGGTGGGTCCCTACATCGTCTTTCCCGCAACTCTCAGATGGTCAGGTTGGCTGTCTTAGAGGTAAACATGACAGTCTGCCAACCCAAAGTGATTTAGAAATGTTAATAGATTTTACCAAGCCCCAGTCTCTAGCATGTGTATTTTAAGCCATCATAAAACATACCTGTCATGCTAAGGAATGTGCCGGAGGGCAGGCATCAAAGACTGGCCGAGGGAGTCTGGGGAGTGGTTTCTAAATATTAAAGCCACTTTATTTATTAATTCAGGAATTTCTCTAGGTAGTTCTCCTTACTTGCCCATCTAAGTGTCCAGAGGCTCAGAGGTAATTCTTTGGACAAAGAGGGTGAAGACAGGCTGAGCTGAATCTGCTTGAGTTAGGGAATCAAGTTAACAGAGCAATCACATCAGCAAGAGATGGTCTTTCGAGCTCAACGGAGAAGGGAGAATGGAACAGAAAGGTGCTCTGGACATTCCTGACTTCTTTGGAAGATAGTGGAGCCGTAGCTGGCTCAGGGTGGACGGGTAAATCCACTTTTGTTGTTATTGTTTTATTCTCCTGTTCTCCATGGCAGTGGTGTTGTCAGTCAACTTTGGTGGGACATCAGGCTGTCAGTACATCTCATTATTAGTAAATTTGGTGACCAGGCTCCTGCATCAAGCGTTTTGTTAGAGAACAAAATGATGGTCCGGGGGTTCCACCCACCGAACTGTTTGGTGAAGAAAAACATCAAGAATTGTGATACTAAATACACAAAAGGATTCATGTATTTGAAACTTTTTAAAATGTTTTCTATCCTCCATTCTAAGTTTATAAAGTAAATTAGAAGGTAAAGCCAATAACAGAATAAGTATTAAAATAAAAATGAGGACACCTGTTAATGAAAAGGAGGCAGTGTTGCAAAGAGGGAGGAGGAACAAGATCAGACCCCAAGTTCAGGATCAGCGAGTCACCGAAATCCTCAAACCTCACTTCTTTCTTCTGTGAAAGGGGGATCATAAAATCTACACCACCGGGTTGTTCGTGAGATCAGAATGAGATAATCTATTTAGAAGTTAAACAGCGCTCAGATTCCACTCCTATTGCTTTCCTGAGTGGACGGGATGGTGCCGTGAAAAAGGCATGTGAGTTTAAGTTGCACAGACATTGGTGCGAATTCTGGCTTCGCCATTCACTCTCTGCATCCTTGAGTGAGTTCTTTTCATCTCTCTGACCCTGGTGTCCTCAGCCTTCGAGTGGATTTTGTCAGACCCCCCCCCCCAAAAAAATAAGGTAAAAAGCATGGGCTCCACCAGGACACTTGGGAGCTGCAAAACTTGCTGGTTCCTGAATCTCATGTTGCCCCGTCCAGGGCTGTGTGCTCGCGAGTGTGGAATACGGCCCCGGCACCTCTAGCTTCCCTCGCGGCCAATGACCTTGCTGCTTTTCCGTTTGCAGCCGTCCTCCGGAGGGCCGCGCTGGGCATGGATACCTTTCTCGGCGTCTGGAGGAGCACGTGCCATAGTGTCATCGACCAGTCACGAAGCTGCTAAGGCCGTCCCAGGGACGTGGGCGCCAGCAGAGGAAGGCGGCGTCGGGGGGCCACATCGCCATGCCTTTCGGCCTGAAGCTCCGCCGGACACGGCGCTACAACGTCCTGAGCAAGAACTGCTTTGTCACACGGATCCGCCTTCTGGACAGCAATGTGATCGAGTGCACGCTGTCGGTGGAGAGCACCGGGCAGGAGTGCCTGGAGGCGGTGGCCCAGAGGCTGGAGTTGCGGGAGGTAAGAGCGTGTGTGTGGGAGGGAGGGGGGCGGTCTGAGCCGGAGCTCACTGAGGGGATCGGCCACCTGCCCTTGGCACCTGCCCGGCTTTCCAGCCCCAGCCCCGGGTGTAGAAGGATCCTGCTGTCCGTGGCATGGGCTCCGTCTCACAGCTTCTGTGCATCAGGAGGCCTGCCCCGGTGCCTGCTGTGACAGGTGAGGAACCCACCCAGAGCTTGCAGGGGGTAGTGGCTTCCCTTTTGTTCCCACTGGTGAGGAGGTTTTTGGAGGGAGCGTTTCAAGTCATTGTCTCTCCTTCAGACCCTCGAGTGGGTAGCTGGCGTTCTGGCATTCCCGCTGCACGTCTGGGAGAAACACCCACGGAGGGGACAGATGCGGCTGCTTATAGTTTTTGTTTGTTTCTCTATTTTCCTCTTCAAAGAGGGGGCAAAACTGGAGAAGCATTTAAAAGGAGCCTGACCAGTGAGGCTTTCTGTGGGAGCTTGTAAATGGGCATTTTGTTCAAGATGCTCCTGACCCTCCTTTTCTTGGCGCCGTCGGTAAGACTCCTTCGGGCCTTATGCAAAACCGGGGTTGGCAGTGAAGCGGTCACGTTATCACTCCTCAGGTTAAGACTCCTAGGAGGGTATGTCCTTTATGCCAGCACACTCCACTTGTCCTAGCCTTACGGACATTCGGGAGAAGAGGCTTTGGTGAGAACCCCCCCCCCCCACTGCAGGTGTGTCCTGAGAGCGGGGAGGGGGGGCAGGCAGGCGGGGGGTAAGGTGACATGATACAGTGGTTACCAGCGCGGAAGGGACTGCAAGCTTCTGAGATCTGAGGATCAGGAGAAGCTCTGTGGTTGTCCTAGGCCCTGTGCCCCCGTCGCCCGCCACATCAGGGTGATAGTATGTGGGGGGAGGCCCTGCTGGAAGTGACGGGGTTTGACGTCGTTCTACACACCCCTTGGGGTCCACCTTCTTGCCGCATCCATACAGGAATTGGGGTCCAGGAAGTTCTTCTCTCCCCTTGGCATCCTACGCGGGCCGACTGCCGTCCTCCAGGGGACTGTGTCACCTGAGCACTTCTGTCTCCTGTCAGTCTTGGTGTTTATGCTTTGCTTTCTGTGATGGGGGCTTCCTTTGAAGTGTATTTTCCTGTGACGGAGACTGCCCCGTCCCACAGATATGTGCAGCTTGGTAGCCGACCCAGCGCAAAAACATGGGAAGTGGTGTGACCTTGCTGGTTGATCGCTGGTTCCTTTTTGCTTATTGGTAGCACATTTGGGTGTACATATTTAAATATATGCATGGCGTAAAGGAGAAACCTCAGGTCTGGAGACCGGTTGGTGAGAAGACTGGTCTAAATTTCTTGTGAAAAGTTTAGTTATAGATCATTCCACTTTTGAGTATTCTCAGTAACTCACATTGGGGTAACCATTCGTCACATGCACTGAGAGACACTACAGCATGCACTTGAGCAGCTGTAAGCTCAGTCTTTCCCGTCTTGAACTTGGGTTCAAATTACAGTTCTGTGACTTAGGAGGTAGGTGCGCTTGCAAAAGTTACTGCCCTCCTCTGGGCCTCCATTTTCTCACCTATAAAAGCAGAATAATGATGCTCACCTTATGTATCATATGGGGGCTGTTATAAATAATAAAAGACATTCAGTATGGGAAGTGTTTAGTCCTGCATCTAATAATTTATAATTGTCTCAATTTTAGTGTCTTAAAAATTTTTGATTGAAGAAAATCTTGAGCAACCACAGTGTGCCAAGTACTGTGTTAGGACTTGATGAATGAAGTTAAATAGGGTTTAATTCTGTCTTCAAGCTATGCACAGGTGAGTAGGGGAATCCAGCATTTTAAGTGAAGTGAAGATGGGATGCGATCCATGCTAAAAGGCAGTGCAGGGGCAGGCCTGAAAGGCAATAGCTCCCCTTAGTGTTGTGCAGTACACAGTCAGTGCCACTGACCGTGGCGGCCCTGGGAGGGGGAGAGGATGTTCGGTGAAAGACGAACAGAGCCTTTACTCTCTGAATGGGGACTTGAAGGATGCCTAGGACTTCAGCAGGTGGAAAAGCAAGCAAGGCCATCCAGCGCATGGGGAGTTGGGTTTTGAGGATGTGAGGATTCAGAAGGACAGGTGCCGTTCTTGGGGGCTAAGAAGGCATCTCCGTGAGTCACCAGGTAGAGTTAGAGTCTGAGGTGCCAGGGGAGGGCGTCTGGAGACCGGCAGGGTAATAATTACTCTGAACAGACTTTTGTTTCGCTCAGCGAGAGGGCAAAGGTGAAACCCGGATTAACCCACAACTGTGTTGTCACAAAGGACAAAGTAGTGAAGTCCAGGTTCTCCTGTCAGGTGTGGGTTGCAGTGTGATTGATCTTCTGATGCTCCGGTGGGGCCGACAGTTAACACAGGCTTCATCTTGACACGCTCTAAATGGGAGCATCCGCATTAGAGCAGATCACTTTCTTTTTTTAATTGTGTGCTTTTGTTCTGTGACAGATGACATCGAAGGTCTGGCCTTTTGTGAGACAACACTTAGAGCTACTCTCAAACAGAAGGGTGAGATCAAGCAGTCCACGGCTGTGTTCTTTATCTACGCACGCACGCACGCACGCGCACGCACGCACGCACGCACGCACGCTGGGGAGGAATGTGTTCTCCCAGAAGCAGGAGGAGGAGGGGATGAGCACAGGGTCTGCTCTGCTCACTTGACTTTCTTTGTATTCAGGTCGTTTTCCAAATAGAGCTGATGGAAAGGAGAAAGTGAAAATCCGTCTAAAATATAGCAAAATGTTTAGTCTTTATTAAGGCTTGGAAACCAGATTACGGTGGCTATTTGGCTTTGCCATTAGAAGTGCTCTGGAGTCTAGATGTATCCTAGACTTTCTCCTGGGGCGCCTGGGTGGCTCAGTCGTGAAGCCTCTGCCTTTGGCTCAGGTCATGATCCCAGGATCCTGGGATCGAGTCCCACTTTGGGCTCCCTGCTCAGCGGGGAGTCTGCTTCTCCCTCTCCCACTCCCCTGCTTGTGTTCCCTCTCTCCCTGTCTTTCTGTCAAATAAATAAAATATTTAAAAAACCAATATATATAGATTAGCTTTATATTAGGAAAGGAAAATTAATTTTTGTTTAACTTTTGATCTACACTAATTATCATTTGTTTTGTCACTTTGTTTTATCATTTTAAAGAATCGATTTTATAAAAAGATTTTATTTATTTATTTAACAGAGAGAGAGAGATCACAAGTAGGCAGAGAGGCAGGCAGAGAGAGAGGAGGAAGCAGGCTCCCCGCTGAGCAGAGAGCCCGATGTGGGGCTCGATTCCAGGACCCCGAGATCATGACCTGAGCTGAAGGCAGAGGTTTAACCCACTGAGCCACCCAGGTGCCCAAAATCCATTTGATTTCTTAAAGCCGTTTTGGCTTTATAGCAAAATTGAGTAGGAAAACAGTCTTATATACCTCCTGCTCCGCCAGTCCCACACCCTCCCCCACACCAGAGTAGAACATACGTTACAATCAGATGAACCCACGTTAACACATCAGTAGCATCCGGCTCCATAGTTTACGTTGGGGTTCACTCTTGGTGTTGTGCATTCGGTGGGTTTCGACGAGTGTATAAGGACACGGATCCATGTGGCCGACTTTTTGAGAGCCACGCCTGGTCTTGAATGGACCGATGTGCTGCCATTTCAGATGGCATCTAGAGGACCCAGGCCAGGCTTGTTGTCAGCAAATGCAGACAAGGCCGGGGGGAAGCTGCATGGGAGAGGGTCCCTGCTCCCAGCACCCTGGAGTTTAGAGATGAGGACAAACAAGGAACAAAGCAAAGGGAACAGCCCATGCTGAGCTACAGAAACAGGAAAGCACATGGATTTTCAGGGAAGGGCAGAGTTCATTTTGCACTGATCTGTGTCTGTGTGTGTGCATGTGTGCGTGCACGTGTGTGTGGAGGGGTCCCGGCAGGGAGGGTAGGAGTGTAGGAAAGCAGGCGGGAATCTGCTTTTGAGTGGTTTGATGTGTGTGGCTGGGGAGTTTCAGCTGGATTCTGTTTCTGAAATGTGTCACCAAAATAATTAAAATAACTGCCACCTTTTAACACGCCGCCTCCTGGGCTGAGCACCCTCCCCATATCCATTCACCGAGCTCTCTGAACTCCGTGAGGTGGCTCCTGTGGCTGTCTCCGTGGGACAGACAGGGACACTGCAGCACAGGGTGACCCGCTGGCCGTGCAGAGCTGCCTCAAGCCCAGGTCGGCAGACTCTGCCTCTCTGGTTCCCAGGCTGCCTGTGTAGCCGCAGAAAAGGAGCCGCGGCGAAATACTTTGGGAAACACCCTCATACGTGCTGTTTTTTTAAAAAAGGTATGGAACTCAGTGTTTCACCATTATCTTAGCCTCCTGTTAAATCCTCTTTGAACCGTTCGGGGAATAAAGTGCTGTGGTGAGATGAGAAGCCATCTGAGGGTTTCAGGGCGGTGCGTGACATGAACACCTTGCATTTTAGGAAAAGTACCGAATCGCAGAAAGAGAATGTGGATGGGGTGACAGGAGAGACAGAGGGCTAGCTGGGTGGACTGAACAATGGCCCTGTGAAGAAGAAATAAAATGAACTCCTTAGGTAAAAACCATTTTTTAAAAATTGTTTTAAGGGACGCCTGGGTGGCTCAGTGGATTAAAGCCTCTGCCTTCGGCTCAGGTCATGATCCCAGAGTCCTGGGATCGAGCCCCACATCGGGCTCTCTGCTCGGCAGGGAGCCTGCTTCCTCCTCTCTCTCTCTGCCTGCCTCTCTGCCTACTTGTGATCTCTGTCTGTCAAATAAATAAAATCTTTTAAAAAAAAATAGAAATAAAAATTGTTTTAAGTTTAGGAAAAAAAATTAGGTATGAATTTCTGGCTAAGAACTCTTTTTTTTTTTTTTTAAGATTTTGTTTATTTATTTGAGAGAGAAAGAGAGCACAAGCCCGGGGAAAGGCAGGCAGAGGGAGAGGGAGAAGCAGGCTCCCCGCTGATCAGG